GTATAGAGACTTCGGCTTGTAACTATACTCTAATTACTATTTTGAAAATTATAACATGTTAAATTACTCCGTTACTAAAAAAGTAATCAAATTACAGTAACGCGTTACTAAGTAATGCGTTACTGCCCAACACTGGTTGAGAGACTGGATGCTAAGAGCTGTGCCACCTCGGGGGCCACACCCACAGCTTCCATAACTCCGGGCGGGGGTGAAGGATGGAGCCTCTTCTTGAGAGAGGAGGTCCCTCCTGATCGGAATTTCCAGCGGAGAGCCGTCAAGAAGGGACACAAGGTCCGAGAACTACACTCAGGCCAGCCAGAATGGGGCTACTAGCAGAAGACAACTATAGGACAGGAAGAGCTAAAGTAGAAACTTAATTTGCTGTAAAGTTGCTTTGCAATGATTTGTATCGTGAAAAGCGCTGTACAAATAAACTTGAATTGAAAACTTGAAGACGTATCCCGTCCCGGTGTACTCTTTCCAGGAGCAGAGCGATCGGGGGAAAGCATACAGACGAAGCCTAGGCCACATCCACACATCGATACAAGAAGGAGACAGACGTGCCTGCATCGTTGTCAAATCCCACACCACGCCGAGACAAGTGGTTCTCTGTAGTGGAGAAAGCACAGTTTTCTTGGCGTTTGGCCTTAACCCCAGCTCTTTCATATGGGTGAGGATGACATCTCAATGCCGAACCGCCAACTTCTCCGATTGAGCCAGTATCAACCAATCGTCAATGTAGTTGAGTATGCAGATGTCTTGGCGTCGCAGCGGAGCCAGAGCAGCATCCACACACTTGGTGAAAGTGTGGGCTGAGTGTGACAGGCCAAAGGGAAGAACCCGATACTGTTATGCTTCGCCCCCGAAAGCAAACTTCAGGAATTTCCTGTGTTGAGGAAGGATGGATATGTGGAAGTATGTGTCCTTGAGATCTATTGTGGCAAACTAGTCCTCGGACCTGATTTGAGACACTACCTGTTTGATAGTGAGCATCTTGAACCGAATGGCGTTTGATAGCGTGGTTCAGCAGACGTAGATCTATGATCGGACACAACCCCCCAATCCTTCTTTGGAAAGATGAAGAAATGGCTGTAGATCCCAGACTCTCTCTCTCTCTCTCGAGAGAGAGAGAGAG